ATGGGTTGCCTGGCAACGCATCCCTGGAGAGCAGGAGAGGGGTGAATTAGGAGCAGGTTGCACAGGAAACGTCCCTTCTCTGTGGTGCTTGGCCTGGGGGAAGGGATCGCTCACCAGAGCTGAGGAAGTTTAATCTGACCTCTCCAAACAGCCCACATTTCTTTTGTTCTCCACTGATGTTTTTCAGAGTCTGAGCTCATGTGTGATGTCTATCCATGTATTTGATGTCTGGATATTTTGATTCTTTATTCTGATCTTAGAATCACAAAATGGTAGTGCAAGAAGAGTGTAGAGGTTTATCTATTTCTGCTTCATTTGAAAGATAAAACGCAGAGCCTGAGAGAGTCAATGGATTGTTACAGGTCACTCTTTTGTTACTGATAGAGACAAGAGTTTCTTGGTTTCTTGTTTCCTTTGCACAGTTAAAACAAGTCTTATCAAAAGATTACAAAATTGCAATCAAGGTAGGACAACAAATATTTTAAAAAAATCTTATACTAAAGCATTCATTCTCTTTTCCAGAATTTCTGTGAATTGTTCAACTTCAACAATATTCCCAGTATTATATTCATAGGAAAACAGATGAACAATGCAAACAGTATTTCCTACCACATTAGTTTTAATGAAGACATTGTTCCTATATTAGTATTCTGTAATTTATTAATTGGTTGTATTTAAAATTTTTTATGTGTCTCAGTCAGATTGGGACATACATTGTTAATCATTGGGATATACATTGTTAATCATTGGGATACATGTGTTTGCTTTCACCCAGTGAAAAATTGGACATCTGAGCTAAATACGATCTGGTCATACATGTCTCCACATTGTTGAAACTGCTTCTTCTGCAGAGCATTTTAGGACGTTGAGTCCAGTAGCTGCAAGGCAGGCCAGATTCCTCCTGACTTCATTCTTACTTCTTTCTTCCTCAGCATCACCTTCACACTTCACGTTTTTCCAAGACCAGTAGAAAATGGACAGATCCCAGGTGAGTTATTTAATTGTTATTACCAACTTTATTTATAATGCCTGCCTTGTATGAGGCTTTTAAGGATCACTAGAGTGGAAATATAGAAATAGATATCAATAGGGAAAATACATAGTAGCAGATTAATAACAAGATGATTTAATGTATAGGTAAGTATGAGTTTTATGATCTTCCAGAGTTTTCACAATTGAGCTACAAATTTGTCTCCGATCTCTCTAATAGCCATGACAAAATGTAGACATCTGTTAAATGATTTACATGTTCCATAATGAAAAACCATATTGATTGTTAATGGGGCATGAAGACTTCCTGGGATTAAAGTCTAAATAAAAATGTTCCTTTCTTATACTTTGGGTGATGAACTGTACAACCTTCCAATAACTTCAATAAAAGAAATGTGGCCTCTTTCATTCAGTAGTTCTTCAGTGGAAATAGAGGACTCTGGTGCTAAGGAAAACTAGGTGGATATAGGTTTTCAGAGAATAAAAATATGTAGTCTAGTGTAGTATGCCATCCAGTAGAGTAGCCACTAGCCATGTGTGGATATTGAAATTTAATTAAAAATAAATGTGTTGTCTAGGTTACATAGTAACATTTTAAGTGCTTAATTGTTACATGTGGCTAGTGGCTGCCAAATTGGACAGCACTGCTTTACACCATTTTCTGATGTTGCTGCTTGATGTAGGGATAAAATGTAGAGTATCTGGAGGAAGAAGTTGAGTGTATCTGCAGACTATTTCAGTAAATGATTTTTTTTTCCTCTTTAGGTTGTAGTTATGAGGTGGTTCAGAGTTACACTGTCTGGCATTTGTGTCTGTAATTCTAATTCACATTTCAGGCCTTTCTTTTCTGAACAAGTCAGAAAAAGTAAAGAAACTGAAAAAATGTGTTAATGGTGTAAATTAAAATGCATATATATTATGTTATACTCAAATATAATAGTTGATAAACCAAGATGTAGAGGAAAAACAAATATATATATTATCACAAAAAATGTGAATGGGTGAATTTCTTAGATAATCATAATGGTTTAAAAAAAAAAATCCAGCCATACGATGTTTTTAAGAAATAGATCTAAAACAGAGATGAAGGAAGGAAAGCAAAGAAGTAGGCAAAATATTTCAGGCAAAGGCAATAAAGGGGAAGCAAGAGCAGCCTTATTGATATCGAAGTGGAACTTACAGTCTTAACCTTGACCTTAATGGTATGAAAATAGATATCACACAATGATAAATAGCAAAATTGGCCAAGAGGATAAAAGCATTTTATATAGCCAAATACAGAAGCAAGTGCTACCTTGGTTACAGAAAACATACTATTGAGAGGGGTAAGACACCTGTTTCAACTTCTGACACATCAAGGAGATAAAAATAAGCAAAGGAAGCTATCGTGTGGTATTCTACACAAACAGAATATTTTACTCTTTTGTTCAGAGAAAATTTACAGAAATCCATGAGATAATAATAACTAAAATTTAGTGGTGTTTATTCTATGCCAGATAGTCTTCTAAATATCTTAAACGTTTATAATCTAATAATTCTCAATGACAAACATAAAATATAGATATCATTATTTTCCCAAAGTAAAGAAAACTGAAGCAAAGTTAAGTACCATGCCCAGGATGGGAACCGGGTCATCTGACAACAGATTTTTTCATCACTCATTTTTATCATTAGATCATATTCTGGTCACTAAGAAATTTTTAATAAATTCTAAAAAGCAGAGATTTGTTAGAAGTAGAATTTTTGAGATGCTACATCCTCAGTTAGGAGCTTTAAAGTTAAAAGGACTAGATAGATGACTTTAACTAGGATATATACTCATAAGAAAAAGAAATAGTCCCCTAAATAAAACTTTAGGTCTAAAATAAATATCAAAATTCAAATTACTAATTATCTGGAATAAAACGAAAGGGGACTATGTTACACGATAATGTTAGTGCCACAAGTAAAGTTATTACAGAGTACTTGTCTTTAACTTATTTTTAAAACTAAATTGAAAATCATTATGAATCATATGTGTCTAAAAGAAATTGGAAAAGAAAAAAAGAGGACAAAGTAAGGATAAAATCATAATTGAATAGAATTAAAATAAAACAAAAAAAAATGAGCAAGGCTAAATATAAAACTAAAAGCGGTTTGTTGGAACTAGCCCATAAAAGAGATTAAATCTAAAGCTGGCATTAATAATCAGGATAATAAAGCAAAAATATAGTCAGCTTTGAGAATATATACTTAACAAAGCCTTGTGAGGTAACACAACAAAGAAAACCACAGGAAACAAATCACTTAAATTTTTAATTTAAATGTTCCTAATAAAATACTGGCAGACTACATTTAGGAATATACTAAAAGAATAATATAGCATGTCCCATCAGAACATGCTGTGAAAGTGGTAACTGTTGTTCACAGCGATCTTTCCAACACTGACAGCAGGCTCTCGACATATGTTCACTGAATAAATGACTGACCTAGTAGGGTTTATGTCAAGAAAGTGTGGCTACTTCAACAATAGGAAACTTATTGGCAATATTACATCAACATATATTTATCTTGGATACAAGATAAACATATAGAAGCCCCTAGCTAATGGGTTAATTAGATACATATTTTAAACATTTTAGCCAATAACAAGTTAGAAATGGAAATGAAAGAAAAATAGGGGTATCTGTAATGTCAAAAATGACAAATTAGCTAGGAATAAATTAGCTTTATTAAGAAAGTGACATTTGAGCAATGTCCTAAAAGGAAGAATCATAAAAAATGCTGAATTAATCCAATAGAAGGCAGAAAAAGAGAAAAAATGACAACAGCTGGGACAAATAGAAAGATGGAAACAAATGGAAAGATTATGGACTTAAGTATAATCATATCAATATTCATATTATATATGTGTCCCAAATATCCAAAGGCAGTGATTGCCAGATTGGATTTTTTTTAAAAAAACAAGGCTTGTTTATATACTACAGACAACAAACTCACATTAATATAAAGATAGAAATAGGTTAAATATAAAAGAATTGAAAAAGATATACCGTGATAATGCTAGTCAAATGAAGGAGATATACCATGCTAACACTGTATTAAATGTCAGGCATAGATTATTACAGGTCGAGGATCCCTAATCTGAAATTTGAAATGCTCCAAAATCTGAAACCATTTGAATGCTCACATTGATGCTCAAAGGAAATGTTGATTGGAGCATTTCAGGTTTTGGATTTTCTGATTAGGGATGCTGAACCTGTAAGTATAATGCAAATATTCAAAAATCTCAAAAAATCTAAAATCTAAAACATTTCTGGTCCCAACCGTTTCAGGTAAGGGATAGTCAACCTGTACTGGGGATAAAAAGAACCTTATATAATGATAAAGGAGTCAGCTCATCAAGGGGACACAAAAATCCTAAATGTTTATGTACCTAAAAACAGAGCTTCAAAATACATGAAACAAAAACTTACAGATCTACAAGACCAATAGACAGTTGCACAGTTATAGTCAGAGACTTCAAAACACTTTTCTCAGTAATTGGAGAATAACTAGACAGAAAAATCTGTAAGGATAAAGATCTAAACAAAACTATCAGCCACCTTGACCTGACATTTACAGAATAGTCTACAACAGAATACATACTCTTTTCATGTGCACATGGGCTATTTACCAAGACAGTGTTCTGGGCCATAAAACAAGTCTCAAGTATAAAAGGATTCGAGTTGTACAAAGTATATTCTCTCACCACAGTGAGAAAACAGAGAGCTTTCTTACCTTATCATTAGCAGAGGTTTGTCTGCATAATAAATGTGATGTGTTTGAATCATCCCCAAATGATTCTCCCCCCATCCTCCTTCCCCTAGGGCCGTGGAAAAACCATCTTCCATGGAACCGGTCCCTGGTGCCGAAGATGTTGGGGACTGCTGCAGTAAGGCATACACTGGCCACTTCAACATCACAGCTGCGGTAATGCGGAGCCAATGAAATGGTACTTATACTTGTACTTACCTGAGAAAGCAGAAAGCTGTCTGAAAAACAGCTAATTGTTTGGAAACTAGTATACTTCTAAATAACCCATAGGACAAAGTGAAAATCATAATGGAAATTGGAAACTATTTTGAACTGACTGAAAATGCAAATACAACATACAAAAATTAGTGATATGTACTAAAGCAGTATTTAGAATTTATGGCATTAAACACCTATATCAGGAAATTCACATTTTAAGATTTTTTTTTTTTAAGAGACAAGAGTTTCTGTCACCCAGGCTGGAGTGCTGTGGTGTCATTATAGCTCACTGCAACCTCAAACTCCTAGGCTCAAGTCATCTTCCTGCCTCAGCCTCCTGAGTAGCTGGGACTACAGGTATGTGCTACCACGCCCGGCTAATTTTTCTATTTTTTGTAGAGACAATGTCTGGCTCTTGTTCAGGCTGGTCTCGAACTCCTAGCCTCAAGCAATTCTCCCACCTGGGCCTCCCAAAGTGCCAGGATTATAGGCATGTGCTACTTCACTTGGCCTTACTTGGTTTTAAATATCCATCTTAGTTTACTAAATATATTTGAATAGAACATAATAAAATATACAGTTGACCCTTGAACAAGCAACATGGTTTGAACTGCACGAGTGTACTCGCATATAGATTTTCTTCTACCTCTGCCACCCCTGAGACAGCAAGACCACCTCCTCCTCCTCCTCTTCCTCCTCTTCCTCCTCTTCCTCCTCTTCCTCCTCTTCCTCCTCTTCCTCCTCTTCCTCCTCCTCCTCTTCCTCTCCCCCCCCACTTAATATTTACATGTTAGCTCTTCTGGTTATATCAGACAAAACCATTATAGGCACTGGTAATAAAAAATAAAATGTCACAATATGGCCTTAGGCCCGACACTCGCAATGCAGTGGAGTTATAACTGCATCCTTATCTGTGATTGGTGGTGTGTCAGGCAGCAGTGAGAGTGCCATATACAGTCTGTGGCAGCTACTCATCCCTGCTGTTGTTTCGTGAAAGCACCCATAGACAGGACACAAACAAGCATGCTTGTGTTCTAATAAAATTGTATTTATGGACACTGAAATTCAAATTTTTAAATAATTGTTATATATATAATATGTCAAAAAACATTCCTTTGATTTTTTTTTTTGGTCAACCATTTAAAAATGTAGTGCAGTGGCTCACGCCTGTAATCCTAGCACTTTGGGAGGCTGAGGCCAGGAGCTTGAGACCAGCCTGAGCAAGAGCAAGACCCTGTCTCTACAAAAACATAGAAAAATTAGCTGGACATGGTGGCGTGCGCCTGTAGTTCTGAGGCAGGAGGATCGCTGGAACCCAGGAGTCTGAGGTTGCAGTGAACTGTGATCATGCCACTGCATTCTAGCTTGGCTGACAGAGCGAGACCCTGTCTGAAAAATGAACAAACAAATGTGAAAAACAAAGATTATTCTTAGCTCACTGTCTGTACAAAATGGGGCAGGCTGGTTTCCTGCTCCTGCCCATTGTTACCACCTTTATACAGGTGGTCATCTTGCCCTCTGGTTTTTGCCCTGAGTTTCCTCTTAAGCCATTCTCCATTCTTTCTATCATTCCTTCTAAAATGCAAATTTGGACATATACCTCCAGGGCTTACCTTACCGTTTCTTTGGCTCCTCATTACCGCAGCTGTGATGTTGAAGTGGCCAGTGTATGCCTTACTGCAGCAGTCCCCAACATCTTCGGCACCAGGGACTGGTTCCATGGAAGATGGTTTTTCCACAGCCCCGGGGGAAGGAGGATGGGGGGAGAATCATTTGGGGATGATTCAAGCACATTACATTTATTGTGCAGTCAAACCTCACTGCTAATGATAATCTGTGTTTGCAGCTGCTCCCCAGCGCTAGCATCACCGCCTCAGCTCCACCTCGGATCATCAGGCATTAGAGTCTCACGAGGAGCGCGCAACCTAGACCCCCTCGCATGCGCAGTTTACAGTCGAGGTTGAGCTCCTGTGAGAATCCTGATCTGACAGGAGGCAGGAGGTGGAGCTTGTGCGGTGACGACGGTGATGGCGGAGCAGGCTGCTCACCTCCTGCTGCTGGCAGGCCACATACTGGTTGGGGACCACGGCCTTAGGGAGTACTTAAGAAAGTCAGCATGTCAAGAGAAAATAACTAGCATATCTGTTTACATTACTTATACCTAAAAAAAGGGAAATTTTGTAGTATACGTATGTAACTCATGGTAAAACATTTTGGAGAAGGAGTTAGTCCTAGATTACTTAAAATCTTGCTCTTGATTTTGCTTATGGATCTGTATCTTAATTCCAGCTCAGTCCTTTCACCAACAAACCGTCTATTTGTAGTTCCACTGACTTGCCCTGTGTTTTCAGTGCCTCTAGGCGTTTGCTGTGTTACTGGTCCATAGTCACAAGAACACATGACAGATTTGTCCGGACTTAAAGCTTCACTTCGTTAAGGTGGCTCAGTCTCATATACGAAATAGAATCTAACATTTCTCTCCTGTGCAACCACTGTCTTTTAGATTCTTCTAGCATTTCTTCTGTGAAACCTTATTGCAGGAATATATTTTTAAATATGTCTCTCAATGATATAATGAGCTCTTGTGCAAGGTTTTTAAAAATTCATTTTTATGTCCCTAGAAAGACAGTTCCAGACACATCGGGGAACCTCAGATTTTTTTTTTTTTCGTGAATCAAGATATTAATACATGGTTAGGGTACTTCTCTGATTTGTTCTCCTACAACATACAATGCCAGATAAAGTACAGAGTAGGTGTACTGTGTGATCTTTTCTCTTCAGGTGTCAACAGTGAATGTGACAAGATATTAGATCCTAAACATTGCATGCTATCTGTTCGGGTCACTGTAAAATGAACACAAATATACTTTTTTAGGTATTAGTGTCATTCAAGGATGTGACTGTGGGCTTCACCCAGGAGGAGTGGCAGCACCTGGGCCCTGCTCAGAGGGCTCTGTACAGGGATGTGACCCTGGAGAACTACAGCCACCTCGTCTCAGTGGGTAGGATTGTGTTCTGTGTAATTCCCAATAGCATTTATTTCTTTTTTGGCTGCTGATATGTGTGATCTTCGGAGAGATTAATGATCTTCAGCATTGAAATTTAGGGTTCAAAGGTGACCCCTGGGCTGTACCTATTATGCGATTGATCCCTTTTGGTCACTATAAGCAGTTTTCCCCCTCTTCCAGTGAAAAGTTTAAATGGCCCTGTTGTTGTACAGCTCCCGAAGCTGCACCTTTTTTCTTCAGAGGCCCTGAAACCTGTAAGCCTGGCGCAAGTCCTGAGTCATTTCCATTCACAGGGTGTTGCGTTACCAAGCCAGAGGTGGTCTTCAAGTTGGAGCAAGGAGAGGAGCCATGGATAGGGGAGGAAGAGTCCCCAAGCCAGAGCCACCCAGGTGAGTTAGTGACAGCTGTAAGCCAAGTGATGTTAGATCTGGTCCCTTCAGTTGTTGGCCCTTTGAGGATTTTTTAGGAATTTATTTTTAGAGGCACCACTTTCAAAGTGGCCTAGAATAACTGGCTTGTTTTCCTTAGGTACATAAAACACACTTGTGGGTAATGCTCTCATAGCTGAATGATCTTGGGTTTTCACTTGAATTTTTTAGACTAATTTACCATTCTTAGTGTTTACAAAAATCTAATTCGTATCTCATTTTAGATCCTTTATTCTCTCCCTATTGGTTGTCTTCTTTTAATTATTTATCATTTTAATTGCATATCATGTATTCATTCAACAAGTATTACTTTACTAATTTCATAACAGTTATGTCTGTGAGCTGTGGACATGTAATGATCTGCTATTATGGAAATTATATTTTTGTTTTGGAGGAGAGTAAAATTGGTATATTTTAGCAAATGTTTTTAGAAAGACCCTTTTGGGGTCAAAATCAGAACACAAATTTTAGTGAAGTGAGGGAGTATATGAGCCATGTGGTCTCTGAATATTCCAGGCATTGGTGATTTTGAGCAAAGAAGTAACAGGATCTGATTCATCTCTCTCTGGCTGCCGTGAAGAGAAAATGTCACTGAGGGAGGTAGCATAATGGCGGGGGCAGCAGTAGTCCATCACTGTTGGATGAGGTGGCTTACACTAGCTTGGGAGTTATGGAGGTTATATGAAGTATATGGTTTCTGGATATATTTTGAAGGCGTTCCCCAAAAAGGATTTGTTAGATTATTTTTGGAGTATAAGAAAAAGTGGCACTTGATACATAGAGATATAATTTATTCAGTTGGGGAAAAACGGGGAGAAATAGTGCAGGGGTAAGGATGTAGGTAAATCTAAACAAACATTTTCTGTATAAAGTAGTACTGGTTGGATATAAAAAGGGCAAAAACAAAATATTGGAAAACAACGTGTAACTCAATTTGTGGTTAATTACACTTCTGTTCTAAAATCCTTTTATTTTTCTGAAGACATGTTAACTTAAATATACATTTAAGGGAATTTAATGGGTAAGTACCAAAATATGCAAAACAATAACTGTAACTTTCAAACTTGTAAAGGGGAGAAAATGGAAAATAAAAAACAATCATTTTAAAAAAAAGAAAAAATTGAGTCAGAGCCAAAAATGGTAATAAAGCAGCAGGGAGTAAAGGATGGTAACTGTAGAACATACAAAAGCCACAAAGGAAAAACAAAAGGAAATAACTCTGTATATTTTAGTAATTACAGTAAGTGAAAGTGGACTAAATTCTTGTGATAAAAGACAGAGATAATCATATTGGATTTTTAAAAAGCTAGTTATAGGTTTTTTGTTTTTTTTTTTTTTTTTGAGACAGAGTCTCGCTTTGTTGCCCGGGCTAGAGTGAGTGCCGTGGCGTCAGCTTAGCTCACAGCAACCTTAAACTCCTGGGCTCAAGCAATCCTTCTGCCTCAGCCTCCCGAGTAGCTGGGACTACAGGCATGCGCCACCATGCCTGGCTAATTTTTCTCTCTCTATATATTTTTAGTTGTCCAGATCATTTCTTTCTACTTTTTAGTAGAGACGGGGTCTTGCTCTTGCTCAGGCTGGTCTCAAACTCCTGACCTTGAGCAATCCACCCGCCTCGGTCTCCCAGAGTGCTAGGATTACAGCTGTGAGCCACCACGCCCGGCCTAGCTATAGGTTTTTTGTGAGTTATACCTAAAACATTTAAACATGAAATGCTAGAATTTAAAAGGAGTAAACATACAGAGTAAAATACTATAGAAAATAGAATTAGGATATCTCAATGGATATCAGACAAAATCAGTTTAAGACAAGAATCTCTGTTGGGATAAAAATGGTCACTACACAATGACAAATGTTTCATCATCAAAGGAAGAAATAACAATTAGATCTAAAACAATAGATGCAGCCAGGTGTGGTGACTCATGCCTGTAATCCTAGGACTTTCGGAGGCAGAAGCAGGGGGAATGCTTGAGGCCAGGATTTGAGACCAGCCTGAGCAACAGAGAGAGACCCCGTCTCTACAAAACGTAAAAAAAAAAAAAAAAAAAAAAAAATTACCTGGGCATACTGGTGCTTGCCTATAGTCCCAGCTACTCTGGAGTCTGATGTGGGAGGGTTGCTTGAGCCCAGTGGTTTGAGATTGCAGTGAGCTGTGATAGTGCCACTGCATTCTGGCCTGAGTGACAGAGTGAGACCCTGTCTCTAAATGAAAAAAAGAAAAAATAGCTTCAAAGAAAATTTGTTAAAACTATAGTGAGAACTGCCAAATATACCATTCTTATAGGAGATTGCAATATATCCCTTTACATTATTGATAAATCAAGCATAAAATTCTTTAATAAAAACGTAGAAAATTTGAAACACAATAATTTTAGAACAATGAAAGGATATAGAATTCAGCATTCAGTAACAATTAAATGCATTGAAAAATCTGTAATTAATAATGTACCGATTTTAATAAATATCAATGACGACTTAGCCCGCATTCTCTCATGTGTGCTGGAATATTTAGGATACATTATTGAATTGTATGAAATTTGATGTAATGTTTCCCCTACCATTCATGTGTGTGTGTGTGTGTGTTTGTGTGTTAGGGAATTGAATATGAAACACAGGTTACAAAATATGGATAATTGTTGAAAGTAGATGGAGGGGTACATGAGGGTTCTTTATACTATTATCCTTAGTTTTATGTATGTTTAAAAATGTTTCATAATAGATTATAAAATACTAGGAATAGAAAAAAAGAACATAACTGCAATGTCAGTACATATTTTAACAGTTTATACGAGAATATTATGAACAACTTCATGCTAATAAATTTGAAAACTTAGAATGAAAAAATTTCTAGGAAAATAGAATATGCCAAAACAGAAGAAAAGCAATACAATGTCAGAATAATTTCAAAATCATTGTAGTAATTGAGTCAGTTGTTAAAAATCTTTCAAGAAAGAAAACAAATTATGAAATTGTTTTTTAGGCAACTTCTGCCAAATCTTTAAGAATCAAATCATTTTAATGTCATACAAGTTCTTCTAGAGATTCAGACAAGTTAAGGAAGACTCCCCAGAATTTACTATGAAACCAGTATAATGTTGATTAAAAAATCTTACAAGGTAAGAACAAGAATGGATAGTTACAAAATTAGGAATTCTAAATAAAGTATTAGGAAATTGTATCCAGTAATGACTTTAAAACAACCCACTTGATTTAACATTAGCATGTATTTGGTTGTAATTTACCTTATTAATACTTTAAAGAATAAATACCCTCATCATCCTAACAAATGTAGGAACAACTGATGAAAAATCAGCTGTATTTTTGATAAAAACGTCTACTAAAATAGGATAGGAGGAAACTTCCTCAGTCTTAGAAAGGGCAGCTGACTGGAGTCTGTGTCAAATATCATTCCCCTTCGAATCAGAGAAAAGTCAGTTTTTTCACTTTGATCACTGGTATTTAATACTGTTCTGGGGACCCTAACTAAAGTAATGAGATAAAACATGAAGTTAATAAAAGTTACGAACATTGGAAGCCAAACCGATTATGGATGCTGTGGTTGTCTATGGAAAAAATAAAGTTATCTACAGACAGATGATTAAAAATAGTCTGAGTATGTAGCAAGTTGGCTAAATACAAGATTGATGTATACAATCTATTATTACCTTTCTAAGTACCAGTAGTCTTTAGAAAACACGATTCAAACAATTTAAACTGCTTACAATAGCAAGGCCTTGAATGAAGAAAATAAGAAAAATGTATAGAAAAACATTAAAGAAATCATAAATATGGAGATAGGGAACACTTAGGATCATCAAGTTCCTGGCTTTTGTATTTATCTACGTAGTTTGCTTTACCAGTGTTCTTTACTTCTTCTTTTGGATTTGAGTTATGTCTAGTGTGCTTTGACTTTGTTGTGCAGGATTTTTAGCATTTCTTATCAGGCACGTCTCCTTATGATGGAGGAACTGTAGGTTCCCCTCCCCACTCTGCCGCTGCAAATGAGGGCCCCAGCCAAACAGCCTTCCTTGTCAAGAGGACCAGGCACGGTTCTTGCTCTTCCCTGAGTAGTGCATTTCAGTTTCCTGCCTCCCCTGGGAGTTGTTCAAACAAGCCAATCACATCTTCCCACAGGAACCAGAGCATCCCGCTCTCTTGACAGTACAGAGCCTGCCTCCCATAGCCCCTGGTTGTTCCCTTATTCCCAAGTGAAATCCCATGTGGCTTTGCCTCAGGCATTGTCCTGCTCTCCTGGGCTGCGAGTATCTGTGACTAATAAACTGCTGTCAATCTCATCTGTTAGGTGTTGAGTGTGTTCCAACCATCCCATAACTCGAGGGTGGGAATTCCTCCCTCACCAGTGGGGTGAAGAGGAGGCAATTAAAACAATTGGCATCATGCACTGGATAGTCCAACAATGACCGAGGGCACCTGGTGAGCTTTAAATCACTGCTGTTGGCTAATTAACGGGTTCTGCAGCACAGCAAAGGCCGCCTGTGACCACACTGCCAGTTGCTGATGGGCTTATGCTTTGGCCTGCATAGCTCTGTGTTGTCTTTGCCAGTTGTTGTCATCTCTTCCCACTCCAGAAGGCTCTTGTCCCCAGCATGAGAATTGTTTTTATTGGCCATACCGTGGTGTGCTGTGCCCTCGGATTCGGCGTGTGTTCCTAGGTGGTTTCTGAGGCGCCCTCCTGTAAAGGCAGCAACAGCACAGCTCCCTAACCAGCTGGTGGCTGATTCGCCTCGCCAAGAGTCAGGCCAGACCGCTCTTGTTACTGTGTCTGTTCTGTTAACTGTCACTGGCTGCTTGGGGCAGCCATACAGGTGATATTTGTGATTATGCGCCCCGCCTCCCGGACAGGTCTGGCCGTTTGTGAAGTTTTTGGAAAGGAAGAAGACCACTGCTCCAGGGAGAATTGAACATGGCACCTTGGTTGCCTAAGGAGAATCGTTCAGGCA